CCTCTCCTGCCGCCCGCTGCTCCCCTCAGCAGTGTACTTCGATCCTTCTGCCTGCTCTGCTCCCCGCTCTGGCTCTGGTGAATTCTCTCACCCTCCCGCGCTTCTGACTGTACCCAATGCATGTACAAAACAAACAAATGAATACATAAATAAATAAATAAAAATACATGCCTCTCTTAAAAAAAAAAAAATAAAAGATTCCTATTAAAAAAGTAAGACAGGGGCCTCCCCGGTGGCGCAGCGGTTGAGCACTGGGTTGCGAAGCTGCCCGCAGCCTCTGTGGCGCCGGTTCGATCCCCGGCTGCTCCCCGGCCACTGGAGGAGGGTCCCACATGGCGCGCAGACCTCTCCTGCCGCCCGCTGCTCCCCTCAGCAGTGTACTTCGGTCCTTCTGCCTGCTCTGCTCCCCGCTCTGGCTCTGGTGAATTCTCTCACCCTCCTGCGCTTCTGACTGTACCCAGTGCATGTATAAACAAAACAAACAAACAAATAAATAAATAAATAAAGCATGCCTCTATAAAAAAAAAACAAAAAAAAAAAAACAAAAAAAATAAAAAAGTAAGACAGTAGGAGGAAGATAATACTGATAATACCTTTACAAGGAATAGCAAAAAACGATGCAGCATTGACGTTTCATCTGTTACTAATATATGTCTATAGAAACTAACCAAAAATTTTAGAAGTTATCAATCTTAATAAAGGACAAGCATATATATGCCTTGAAGTGTTTGCTAATGATAGCACAAAGGCCATAATAATTAGTAAAACATTTAAATTTAAAAAATTTTTAACTTTCAACTTCCATCTTTATTTTAATCCTTTTCAATTTGTATTTGTGTACTACTTATGTGATTATACATATATCAAAAATGCTTGTTGACCATTGGTCTAAGCTGCTCTGCCATTAAAAAATACTAGTTTACTAGTAGTTTATTTCAGAAGCTGTTTGTTATACTTTCTAAATTATATTAAACACAAAGTTTTACTTTTTTAATAGCCATTTAATTCCTTTTGCACATTTTAGCTGTTTTGAATTAATATACGCACTGTGAAACAAGTGCTATACAAGACAAATCAACTATTTTTTTTAAGTTTTTTTTTTTTTTCTGTTATTAAGCAAGCACTGTCTCCCAGTTTTGTGATGGTAGATAGTAACAAAAAAACACACACCTCATTGGAAAAATCCAAACAGATTCATGAACAGGAAAATTTCGGTTCTTCTAACAGCAAGTCCTAATTTAATGATTACCTCCATGATGAGAAGCAATTCAAAGTAAATCAGATGGTGTATATTTTCTATCTGGAAAACCAAATTGTTTGAGACTTACACAATTTAAAAGAACTCCCTTGAAAACAAGAATATAATGACTGATGAATTTTTGGGTTGGGTGTGTACTCGGGACTAAACAACAAATGAAATTTTAAGCATTGTGAAAAACTGGAGTAATCCTCCACCCACTCTCTATGTAACTTCTGCCAATTGTGATGCTTCCTCTGGAAGATTTTCTGGTTTTTGTGGGTACAGAGAATATTGCAGACCTTTATTTATATGAGTAAATATAAAGAGGGTTTAAAATACAGATTCCCGATTAAAAAAGTGATTTCCAACGCAAAAGTAACTTTTAAAACCATAGGAAAATACCAGATATTGATTGCAAATTGTTTAGAACAGTTGACAGAAACTTGCAAGGATGATTAGCTTGTTTCTGTTTTAATAAGGTATGTAAGCATGGCAAATTTTGTTCCCATGAACCACTTTTGAACTTTGTGTGGATTTGGACTTTTGTGCTTTTTTTTTTCATTACTGATTTTTCCTTTTGTTTGCATTTTCTGAGATTATTTCCTTTATTAAAATTTGGAGCCAACGTGCAAAAATTGTAATAAAAGTAATTTGTTGAAAATTTGTTTGTAATGAGTTAAACTATCTAGAAATGTGTATTTTCTAGTTAAGCTAGAAAATGTATATGCCAGGAAAACAGATCAAGGTATTACTATCCACAAACTTTTTTTTTTTTATTTATTTAATATTTTCTCACCTAGGAAAGTGACTATTTACAAGTCTTAGTGGAACAGTTGAATGAAAAATAATTCTATGTCTTTGTTGTCCTCCTTATGTTCTTCTATATCACAACACTATAACACTTAGAATTTAATACCTAGCACCTACTGCCTCCACAGAGGACTTCACCCACTCACTATGGGTTGAGATGACACTCTTATCCGGGTGCACAGGATACTGTGAATTTTAATGACTTTTAGAGAATGGTATTTAAGCTATTTGCTATGCTAACTATAAAAAGTCACTGAACTATGAGGCACGTTATTCCCAGAATCCCATATCCCTACCCCTCATGTACCCTAAATTAATCTTAAATGTCAAAATGGACTCTAGCTTGTGTCTGCTGCTTGAAAATAACTTGAGGGACGAGGTTATGGACTGCTGTGTTTACCTTAAATACAAGTTAAGACAGACAACTGTAATATCAGTTTTTCTATAGTCCATTGGTAAAGCATCTTTAATGTTCATATGGAAAGATCTAGAATGAGAATGCTTTTGTACAAACTGACACATTATTTGTGGAGCTAGAGAAATGAAAATAGAACTAAAATTTTGATGACTATAAAAAGATTAAGAGGATCTGATAAGGAAATGATCAATCTACCTTTGGAGAAGGTAGTTCATAGTAGTTTGGGTTAATATATTACTATAAAAACTTTTAACTTGCCTATTTTCAACTGTTTTCTCTTATGGGAAACTTCATAGAGATAGATCCCATCCCACCACTAAAAACTCCAGAGCACCTTGAAAATTTAATCTCAACATTAGCCCAATATAATTATTTAAAAATTGTACATCATGTAAATATATAATGATATACATTCTCTATCAGCTACAGTATATAGCTCACAGTGGACTTACAATGGCAAATACTTACTTTTTCAAATTATTTTGACCAGAGGTTAGAATGATTGTTCCCAATTCCTTCCTTATTCCACCCAACAACAAAATAGTAGGATCTTTCTTACATTTGAATCTTGATTCTTAATTTCCTCTTGAAATAAATTGCTTGTCTGTGACTATCCTTGAGAGTTTGAGATAATGACATATAAGGTATTGTTTTTAAGGGTGAATGAATCAATTTCTGAAGGAAAGGTCTGATAAATTTGCATTCTTCAAAGCCAGTCTTTGTCCATGTATTTTGCTGGAATTGTTTTTTCTTTTTTCATATTTATATGATTTTTCAAATGTGAATAGATACTATTTGCATTTTCATATGTTTTACATAAGGAACTACCAGAAGAAAAAAATCTCTTTTCTAAAGAGAAAAAGTCTGTACTATTGTACCTACGTAGTCAAAGAGTCATTACTGATAAACAGCCTGAAAGCTCAACACAGCTCTTGTAAGATCAGGTAAAAGTCAATGAGAGAAAAAGACAGATTGAGACTTCTGCTTCTCCATCTTTGATATCATGTGTGTCTTCTGGTGTATGTAATCAGTGTAGCTGCTTCCTCTACTACATATGCAGGCCGTTTTTCATGTCCTTCATTGTTCATAAAAAGGACCTTTTGACAACTTCATCTCACACTGATCTCGTTTTTCTCCTTCCAGTGTATCTTCAGAACCAGAAATTTTAGTGTTGATTTGTAAATTCTTTTGTAAGCAAATATTGATATTTTGAATCCCTGCAACGATTTTAAGTTAAGTTCCTGTGAGCGGACACTTTCTTGCAGTTCCCCACCCCCGCGTCATGCCTTTTACCCATTGAACACAAAGTTAGGAAGGACTTCATTCAGTGTGGCTGATCGTTAATAGAGTCAAAGAAAAATATCAACCAGGAGTTAGGTATTTTGTTAGTTTAGGATAAATATAGTAGGAAGAAAATTCTCTTCCTCTGCACTTCTGTTTTTTATTGTAGAAAGCAGCAACTAAATTGTTCTAGAAAAGAAGTGAAGTTAATTTAATAGGGAGAGCATTAGGCACTGCTACAAATACATACTGAAAAGCCTTTAGCTAGCCTCGGGAGACTGGGTTCACTCACCTTTTAACCCTGTTATGACAGATGAGATAATAAAGGGTACAGAAAATGAGGTGTTTGCTTTTTCTAAGTTGCCCCCAAGTTACCATTTAAATGAAGAAAGAAAAAAAAAAAAAAACCGCCTGCTATCACTTCTAAAACGGGAGCCTGGGAGCTAGAGTTGCCAAACCGGTTTAACAGCACAGCCTCCACGTATTCTGGCTGAGAAGGAGCTACAAGTACATAAACTTATCAGAGATCACTATCCCAGTCATTTCAGAACAAGTTGTTTAGTAATGTACTGTAGTTTCTGTGCAAATCATCTACCATAAACCACAAAGTGATTCAAGGTTCATAGTTCCTTCTTTGTTCCTTTGTTAATCACTGACTTCTGACTAGTGGGAGGTGCCTCCCAAATTTGCTAATGCATTCTTTTTGGATAAGGATGACGCACAGATTGTCCTAATAAGGACTTAGATTGAGAAAGGACCGCCCCCTCTGAGAAGATGGGACAAGTCTGAGAGAGGGCGGGCAGTTTCTTTTTCAACTAAGGATGACACAAGCATAAGTCATTTCCTTATTAATCGGTTCAAACCAGTTCTTACAGGAACTGGTGGTGATAAATGTGGGACTTCTCAGAAGTCATTCATTTTATTCTTTGTACCACACCAGTGCGCAGCATCAGCTCTGCTGTCCTCACTCTGAGAACGAACTCTAAATGCTAGGAAGGGCTCAGCTCCTAATGCCTCGCAAATATGTTAACAGGAGAGATTTTTCTCCTTTAAGGGGCTCTAAAGGCTGAATTTTTATTCACTAAAACAAATTCAAAGGATTTCAGCAGCTCTGCTGATGTATTTTTTTTTCCTCTTCCTATTCAATCTCTGCTTTTTGATTCCTGGTGGTAAGTGGATTATCTTTAATGTCTTTCTTGCTTTTCTTCCCAAATGTATCATTTCCCTTGGGCTACTGTACCCTGCTTCCAGTGCTGTCCCCGGCATAGGTCCGTCTCTACAGAAGCCATTCCAGGAATACCTGGAGGCCCAGCGGCAGAAACTTCATCACAAAAGTGAAATGGATGCACCACAGGTGAGATTTTACTGTTTTCTTCTTCACCGCCCCCCCTGCACCCCTTCCCCACCTGCACTGCTTAAAACTGAAATTACAAGTGCTAGGCTCTCTTCCTTCTAACGTTGAGGCTTTTTACTCTCTGCTGGGAAATTTGTCTTTTTCTACATCAGAATATATAACTTCTATTTCAAGCATCTTTTTCCAAAAAAACAAAAGTAGGACTTACAGGAAATATTTGATTGTTATGTAAAGTGATCTTTACATAATAACGTTTTGAACTGAGGTCATTTGACTATCTCCTTCATTTTTACTCTTTTTCATATGAAGGTGGGGAAATAAATAGACGTTTTAGCTGAACTTGAAGTTTTTAACTTAAACCCAGCCTGCCCTTTCTGTAAAACAGTTCTATGGCAAAGGGAAAGACTAGAAGAGGATGAGTAAGCAATAACTTGAAATGAGAAACTTGGAGGAAGCACAGTTGGTTTTTTCTGATGGCCTTACACTCTTTACATGGCCCTTTGCTGCCCTCAGTTGACCAAACACGACTTCAGAAATCTCTAACATTTATAAGAGCTGCTCCCACTACTGGAACAAGAATGTGTGACTCTGTGGGCAGTACTCTATACAAGTATCTACATGGTGACTTCAGAGAGTAGAATTTCAATCAGACTTTTTACTAAGTAGTAAAAAGACACAAGATGACCTCATCCTCTCCCCATTCTAAATTGTGTTAACACATTATTTCCCGTAAAACATTGTAGATGATCTGCTGTCTTGCTACTGAACTAATGAAGTCTTGTGGATTGTTATGCATTTATTCCTGCAGGGAGAAAACTGGTTGTCCTGGATGTTTGAGAAGTTGGTGGTTGTAATGGTGTTTTACTTCATCCTATCCATCATTAACTCCATGGCACAAAGTTATGCCAAACGAATCCAGCAGCGGTTGAACTCCGAGGAGAAAACTAAATAAGCAGGAAAAGGTTTTAACAGCAGAAAAAGTAGAATGAACGAGTTCTACCCTTAAATTGGGAGGACTCTGAAACAGAAAGGAAAATTGCCTTTTCCAAGCTGTATCAATTTAATTTTTTTTTCCCTCAAAGTTTCGTCCCTATTTCACACTCACATACTTTTCCTTTGTGTGTTAAGGTAAGGTATCCACCCTCGATTCAACCCAAGTTGTACTTTATTAGGGTGGAATGTGATGTTCAGCAGCAAACTTAGCAGAAACCGGCCTTCAATTTATTGCTTTGAAGAGGCCCATATGGTACAATTAAAGAATTCCAGACAACAAAAAATATAGTTCCTAAGTATGTTAAATTTGTCAAGGTTTTAAGGTTTGTCACAAATGACTACTTTGTTTTTCTAAGTCATCAAAATGTATATAAATTATACTAGATTGGGATAACAGTTTTGCATGTCTATCATGGTAAAATTTAATATGCCATCCTGCCCAACCCTTCCTCCTACCTGCAAAAAAAGGCCATTTTATGATGCATTGCACATCCTCTTGGGAAACGGATCTTTAAATTTTATGACAGTATAAGGAGAATCTGGTTGATGTCTCACGAATGAGCTGACACCATTTTTTATTCTGTATATTTAGAATGAAGTCATGAAAAAACTTTATAAAGACATCTTTGATCATTCCAAAATTGTGTCCGTTTTCTTGAGCGCTTTGATTTTTTAGCTTTGGCTTCTACCAACTGAATGGCAGCGTTGCCATATCCACCTATAGCCATAATCTCTTAAACTGGCACTTAACTGCATGAGAGCTACCACCAAGGCATTCTGTTTGTTGTACTGAAATTGAACAGCTAGCTACACTGCTGAAATGGTACTTTAGGGATTGGGGTAGCTAGGGAATTTCTTGGTTTGTGGTAACAGGAGAGATGACAGTATGCTAAGTCAAGGACACACTCTAGAAGGAAGTAACTCATCTAAAGCCATGCTTTCTCATGTCTGTTAATTCTAGCTCAGCATGTACTCTGGTTTTAACAGAAATTTACTTTTACATGTAATCTGATTTTTAACCTTTATTCAGTAAGTGTTTTGTTCTCACATGATTTTTCTTTTGAGATGTGTCTAATTGTACTAGATCATTTTGTTTTTATTGGGAAGAAAGTAAACAATTTCATTTTTTTCTTTAGGAAAATCAGTACTGTCATGTTGAGAGTAGAATTGGGTTTATATTTCAACAGGCCAGAAAAGCCTGATTTGTTTTATCAAATCCCTCCTGAATGTCTGCTTGTTTGCCTACCGTCGTGACATCTCCATGGCTGTACCACCTTGTCGGGTAGCTTATCAGACTGATGTTGACTGTTGAATCTCCTGGCAACAGCAGTCGATGGGCTGTCTGACATTTTGGTATCTTTCATCTGACCATCCATATCAAATGTTCCCATTCAAACATTACCTAGCATCATGGTTTTATGATGAAAAATTCTGGTCCTTAGGTCTAGTGGCATGTTGACTCTTTTATGCCATGCTGTTGCAGCACTATTGAACTAAGAAGATTTTGTAAAAAATTGGGATAGCCTCCATGGCCACAACTGAGTAAAGGACAAGTATCCTGCCTCACAGCTTCTGAAGAGGTTCTGCTTCCGTAACAATCCTTTTTCTTTTTTCTTTTCTTTTTTTCCCTTCATTTTCCCACCCAGGAACTTTGTAACAGTTTGACTGTTCTCTTACTTGAAAAGCAGTACCCAAATGTTTTAGTTTAAATAGATTCATATTAACCACCATGATATTTTAGATTCTTTAGGATTAATTATAAACTTTTAAGTCAGCTTTCAGTTGTATTTCATCTTCACCTGCAATTTATTTTGGTGTTTGAAGAAAGAAAAAAAGAAATATGAATTCTGCTTTTTCGTACTAAATCTTTGGGATTTATTAGTAAGTTTATTTCAGGGTAGTGTTAGAAAAAGAAAATCTTAGAATGAAGTTCTAAGTGATTGGTACTTTTAACTTTGGATGAGTGTTTGCTCCCGCTCCCTCTTCAATTGAATTTGTTTTAAAAAGGAAAAGCAGCTGTCCTTTCCTCCACTATTCAGGTGTGGCGTGCCTGGATGTTCCTGCTTGAATTCCAGCTGGAGCTGTGTGTTAGCCTATTCCAGTGTTGGTTGGTTCCTTTCTTGTATTGACCAAAGTAGACACAAACACAGCTACATGATCTCAAAGACATGACCCAGTCAGTTCCAGCTGATTGGAGACCAGAAAATTTGTAAATGGATGCTTTGATATTACTGCAAATAAAAAAGGGGGGGGCTGGGAATTCTGATTCCATCTGTTTTGTTTGAGTCTCATTTTGTGACTTTAATTATCTGCAGTGTTTTATTATGTCACAACTCAGTGACTGACCGTCGAGCAGTACGGTACAATACATCAACAGTTTATACACTTAACCACTGAGAAGCACCTCCCTTAAAGAAATGGGATGAAAAATCATGTAGTGTTTTCAATATTCTGAGTTGTTACATAATCTGGAGTGTAGGGTTTGGATGAAAGGGAGATTTTGACCACTATACCATTATCCCATTCTCTAGAAATGAAAAAAGAGAGCTGGAGTGAAGCTTCTGAAACGTGCTATGCCTCTACAAACGAGCTCAACCTGTATTACCAGTGTGGTCTGTAGTTTTACTAAGACAGCGTGAGGCTTGACTGCTTTAACCAGTCACTCAGCGGTAACTTGAGTATGAATAATGCGTAAGCTAAGTAAAAATAACCAGTACCTTCCTGTACACTGTAGTGAATTTTGACTGGCCCATGAGTAAAGAGTCCATAGGAGTTCCTGGCAAAGTGTCAAAAAGCCTTTCCATAGAAACCCACTTGCTACCATTTGCAATAGTCTATTAATAAGCTTTGGATTTCTCCCTGTAACATGTGACCCTCAGTTTTTAACTCTGAGTCTGTGGCTAGGTTAGATTAAATCAGATAAAATGTAAAGTGCTGTGATAAATGCTGGTATATTCCCAATTTTTTTTAAAAAAGATTTATTTATTTATGCATACAAGAGCTAGGGTACAGGCCAGAAATGCGGGGGGTGAGAGGATTCACCAGAGACAGAGTGGGGGACAGAACAGGCAGATTGACTGAAATACACTGTTGAGGGGAGCAGCGGGCGAGTCAGGAGAGGTCTGCTGCACCAGGTTGTTCCCTGTCCGGCCAGGGATCGAACACATGCTGCAGAGGCTGTGGATTGCTTCATGATGCGGTGTTTAACCCCTTGCGCCACCAGGGAGGCCCTATATTCCCAATTTTTTAATTCATCAAACACCAGTAACATTTGATATAATTACAAGAACTTGCAGCCTTGTCACTCCAAAAGCAAAATAATCTTTCTAAGTGCTCTCAACATATGCTCTTATTTTAGAGCAGATGCGCTCTGTCTGCAGAGGTTAAATTCAAGATACAAATTAATAAAGAGAAATCAGGAAATAACGATCTAATGATTAATAAGACCAAAACAAATCTAAAAGTAAGCCCTTATGCTACTCAAAGTACAAAGCACAAGTACACTACTTCTATTATGAAATTGTTGAAGATACTTTAATCTTTCCACCTTAAAATGTTATTTTCTAATTTTTTATTATAAAGATGGATAATAAAAGAAATCTGGAAGGTTGGTTGGGAGAAATGGATTACCAACTTTTAAGACCTTGCAAGAAAGTTCTATTACAACTGTCCAGTGAGATTTGCTGGATGCGAATAAGTTTTACATGTTTTTAAAAAATTGATTTAATGGCCTGCAAGATTTTCCTCAATAGACCTAAGTCTTATTTCTGTTAGGGGGAAAAAAAAAAAAAAACAAGAAAAGACTTGTTTATTCATAAATAGTTATTAATGTCCTTGCAAAAAGTTCCACCACCACAAACAGTTTAATGGTCATTTTTTTAAAGATTTATTTTTATTCATTTATGCATACAAGATCTGGGGTGTAGGCCAGAAGTGCCAGAGGTGAGAGGATTCACCAGGGACAGTGGAAAGCAGAGCAGGCAGATCTATTGAAATACACTGCTGAGGGGAGCTGCGGGTGGCACAGGAGAAGTCTGCTGAGCCATGTGGGTAGCTCCCTTGCAGAGGATTGAACATATGTTGCATGTCGTAGTGGCTGGCGATAGCTTGATAGCACTGAGACTTAAACCCTGTGCCACCAGGAGGGCCCTAATAGCCATTTTTGAAAGCCACGTAGCATTCTGTCTCTACTACATGTTGATCAAAGTTAAACAAGAAAATTAATTTCTATGCAAAACTGTTGCCTCTAAAGGGTTGTTTTCTCTAAGGGTTGTTTTCTCTTAAAGTACATAATGTACTTTTAAACTCTAGAAGTAGTTTAGTCATTAGTCTCTGATAGACCTGGGCTGTGGTTCCTGTCCCTCTCTTCCCAGCAAGGCCAAGAGTTCACCTCAGGTAATGTGTTTGCCTTGGGGGTGAGGCCTTGAATTGCAGCAAATAACCTACATGTATTTGCCTATCTAACTAGTACTCATAAGGGGTTAGAACAAAACCTGTTCTGGGCAGCTGCTTACTCATTGCCTTTAGAATTGCCTGGTGCTAGGATGGGCAGGTGCCAACTGTTTGCTCATTCTCTGACCTACTAGCCTTGCAGTTTGCTGTGTGGGTGTTGATACTAGTAAGCTAAAAGAAAAAAAAAATTGTTTTAGATGGCCCCTGTTCTCCACCCAAACACCCTTGATTCATTTGAGACCTGGGATTCTAATTCTGTAGTTGGGAGACAGGCCCAAACAAAGTATGGCCCAGAGAGAGTGAGTCAGTTGTAAGTGGCTGGCTGACTCTATGGGAACAGAAATGAAATCCAGCTTAGAGGGTTTGTCAGCCAAATCCACAAATGTGTGGCTTTTTGAAACATTGGACATCTGTTCCTCTTAATTTAAAATAAACTTTTTTTAAAAGCACAAAATTGCTTAGCTGCTTCTTTCTTTGTCTCAGCAGCATGTCGCTGCCCTAACTTAGGAAGCCTGGAAACAAAATGTGGAATTTTTAGGTCACTTCAGAAAGTTTGGGACTGAATTGCGTCGGGAAGGGAAAAGATGATTTTACAGTATAGAGTTTGTTTGGAAATCCCCTTCAGGGTAATCAGCCCAGGTGTTCAACCCTTTTGTTTAACCATTTCCAAATGACTCAAAGGACATCCAGGGAGGGTTTGGACACACTCCAGCGGGATCTCTACAGTGTAGTCTTTATTTGCATTGGAAACCACATTCCTGAATCCTTGAAGGAAAAGCTCTGTCTCATTTTGGGCCTCTTTAACTAAAAGGGACCCCAGAGCACCTACTTTTGTGCATTTCCAGGAAGGAGTATCTGAAGCTTGCTTTGATGGCCTTCCACTGAAAACTCTGAGGAAAAGCCTTGTTCATTCAAAGAGGCCTCTGTAGACCACTTTCCTCTCCACTTCCACCTAATCTCAAGGGCGGCATTTAGTTTGTTGCTGCCCTCCCTTCCTTTTGGGGGTCAGCACTAGCAGCTTTTTCCTTCAGACCACTGTTGATTGAACCAACCAGACAGCACTGCTTAATTGTGTCCCAGTCTGCTTCCGATGGTGGTGGTGGTGGTAACGGGTGCTTCAGGGTAAGTGGCAGTTTGGGATTTGAAAAGAGGGATGGGCCCGCCTTTCTCTGTAGGTGGGGAATGACTC